TAGTATGGGGTAAATAAAGGTTGCTCCCCCCCCCCCCGGAAGCCTAGTAAGAACTAAATGGCTTTACCTTATTGTATAAAATGTTGTTGAGGCAATGAGTATCAAAAACCATTCGAAAGAATAAAGTTAACACTTCGTGATTCCACAAAAATCAAGGCAATTTATGTGCACCCAGTTAACAACAACATGACCATGTAGTTACAGATATAGCAAGACCATTTACATGGAAAAACAACTTGTATTCACAAGTCATTTCAGTCAGATATCCAACATTTCAAAAATGCATCTTTCTGAAAAATTAATCCCATTTATCTGCTCTAATCCCCTGCCTGGAGGTTTCCCTCTGGACAGAGAATAGTAGATAAGAGGGATTCTCTCATTGAGCCTGTGAGGTGGTTCTACAGAACAAAGCCAAGTTTTCTACACAATTAGTTTTAAATTTTGTAACATAATGCTTACCTGTAAGCATCCCCCATCCAAGAATTTGGTTCATTCATGCAAAAGGAAAATCTTGGATCCTTATTCAATCCATTATTTTTGGATTAGCAGAAGAATAAATATGCAGGGTCCCCAGAAACAGCCAACACCTGCCTTGAAGCAGTGTACTTCAAGAAAATTATAGCCAACACTTAAGAACTTGTCATACACTACTGTGTAAATAATATTTCTTACATTGGTGAGCAAAGCAAGTGAGAGGCAGTTACTTCTAGTCCCACCTGCATACTGTCAGTGTTTTGTCCTTTTCAGTTAAATTTCAAGCAAACATGGAGTAGAAGATGCAGACTTTGACAGCTGATGGAACTGACATCACTACCACCTAAATTCTTCATCAACATCAAAATGGAACAGCACAAAACTCCCAGCTGAGAGTGATCAGCAACAAAATAAATGGACTAATTGGAGCTGGATTAAGAAATTAGTTATGTTAAACAGAACTGCTTCAAAGAACACCAATCAGCATTCATTCATGGTCACAATTCTCCACCACCTCTAATTATTAGAACAGTTACAGCCATTAGAGTTACTATCCACAGATAGCTGGAGGATGCATTTCATCATCAGATTAATTTGGCCATATATGCATGTAATGTTTTAACTCTTTCAAATGAAGGCACTAAAAAGCAATTTTGTTCAGAATGTGTACTCAGCAGCACAAGCTGCCAATATCACCTCATCACTCTGCTCCATTCACCTATACCTTGCAAATGAAACAAAGAACAGAAATTAGAGATTCAAATAAAGCTAGACTTCCCCAGGTTTTCTACACAATTATCCAACTACATGGTTCCACTGAAAACTACAGAAATTAACTGAGTGTATGCAGGACAGCATGTTTTAAACATACAGCTTGCAACTGTTCATTCATTTCCACAATCTCAGTGGGCACATCTACATGCAATTAATGTGACTGAATATACTCTAGCTCAATTTGAGCCAGATTAATCCCAATGCCACTATCTATATGCATGTTTAAACTCAGTAATTTACCGTGCTTCTGGATACCACTTGTATTTGATGAGACTATCTGGCAACTCAGCAAATTAGTCTACTGTGTCTTAAGTGCACAGTAAAGCATCTTGGGTAGATGCATCTAATACATGCTACTTTAGAGGTACATCCACAGAAGGATTCTCAACTATATAGCAGGAAATGAGGTATTTTCCCCCAGTTTATTTATTTATTTTTTTTGCTATCTGATTCCTTGTTTGTGATCCTTAAAAAGCAGCAAGAGTAGAATGCCATTCTTTCCCTGATCAAGACCAACATGGAAACTTGCTACAAGATCATCCCTCTTTCATAGATGTCTCATGTGGAAATAAATGCAATTTAGATTGGTTAACTAGCTATTCTCTAGCCAAGAGAAAACTCATCTCTTCCACCTGTAGGTGCCTCAATTAAAAAGACAAAAGCTTCCCTGAAATGAGGCCTTATCAAGCAAGTTTTTACCCCATATTGGGGAAAAAAGTTGTTCCCTTTACAGGCAGGAAGGAAGAACTCTAGCTATTTTTTTTGATTGGACAGCAGTCAGTACCTACCCAACACAGCTATGGCTGCAGTTATTACTAACTGGCAGGACACAGGATTTTTGCCAGAAATACAAAAGAGTAAAGAGCTCTGGGAAAAAGAAATGAGACAACTGTAAGAGTTCAGGCCTAGCTTATCCTAACTAAGGAAATACTCGTGATGCCTTTTGTGCTAAAATGCTTAGCTTTCTGGAAGCGTCTCACTTTCATCTGTTATTTTAGTCTCCTTCCAGAAAGCTATATGTACACTATGTCTTTACTATATTCAAAACTTATTTTTAGATATTAAACATTCAAGAACTGAGACGTAGTTAGCCATGTTAGTTTGAAGGTAGGCAGAAGACAGCACACTGTGGCACCTTGGACTCGCTCAGTTGAGAAGGTGCTACCCTATACCCTGCCTTTTGTCTACTCAAGAGTTAAAAATGACATAAATAAGGTTGCCTGCACAACTTTATTTTGGGGAAATCTGGTGCACACCCCCTTGTACCTTAAATCTAGCTTATCCCGAGAGCCTGACTATTGACATCACATGTTGAAGCTTCAGGTTCTTCGGTACTGCCACATGATATCATGCAGACTCCTTCTCTTCCCCCCAGTCAAGGTGGGTCAGGAGCATTGGGGTCTTCAAGCACCACTTGCAGCAGTAAGAGATGAAAACAGCAACTTGCAGCAATAGGAGATGAAAGCTCTTTACACCAGGGTAGTTTACAGATATGTATTAAAACAGACCCAAACAAAGTGCAATTCCTGGCTTTGT